GAAAAGAAAATGGACAATCACAATGATTTAAAATATGAAATTCTGAAAAGAAATTAAAATACCAGTAATCATAAGAGCACTGGGGGTGGATGTACAAAAACATGGCAAATTTTCTTGCAAATATTGGATATGATCTGGAAATAGAGCTATTACAAAAACGTGACGATGTGGATATAATATTTCGAAAATTATCTGATATCTTCCGTCGGTTAAAAAAAGAAACGGTCGTTTTTTTATTCTTAAGTCACGGGAGGAGACCGGAAAAATATATGTTGTAATAATTATAATAATAATAGTGCTAATTATATTAAGCAACATTAAACAATGTGGTATTATACTAGAGAGTCGTCGTCTTCTTCTTCTTCTTCTTCTTCTTCTTCTTCTTTTCTTCTTATATATATATATATATATATATATATATATATATATGATAGATGTACATTTTGTTCTTCCCCGTTAAAATAACTCTGAGTTTCCTGCATAATTATGCACAGAAAATAATTAATCACAGAATTATGACCAGCTGTAGGCTCTCACTCTGGCCAGTACAAAATGGCCGCAAACTACATGAAAACTGCCGTAGAAGCATGAAAAAATCGATTATTTCCCCTATCGATGGGAGTTGAGAAATGCAAAGCCGGTCTTGGCCTTTCCGCTAACTTGAATCATGTGCATGTAAATTTTGGTGCAAATCCGTTGAAAATTGCGGCCGTGCATTCGTCACACACACACACACACACACACACACACACACACACACACACACACACACACACACACACACACATCCTGCCTTATATGCTGTAGTCAATATTAATTTTGTCAAATTTTCTTAATTACACAGCGGCCCTTTCAGTAAATGCCCTTCAGTTTTCGTTTCCCCCGCTCCATCTCTCTCCCCCACCCCTTTTTTCCTCTCCCTCCCTCTTCTTCTGATCTTTAAGATTAGATCGTCTATATTGTGTGTGTATGTCACCACAAAATGTATCCTTTCCGGTTACATCTTTAATGTATTAGACATCCGACAACATTCATATTTCTCTCACTTAAACCGTCTTCAACTCACCTCTCTAAAACTCCTCTCTGTTAAGTTTTAATCTCCCACCTCCTCTCGTCTGTTACCCCTCTCTTTAGCTCTAACATTCGTCCCACACTCTCTCATACTTACACTCTCTCTAAGTTCTATTTTTATTTCTGGAGTTGTTTTTTTTTCTTTTGTTTTCTTTTTGAATTTGTAGATCTGATGAATTGGATCGTATTTACGATTCCATTGGAATAAATTATGACCATGGAATATTAGTGTTTAAGCTCTTTTATTATATATATATATATATATATATATATATATACAGACATGACAGAATTGAATAGACGCTCATAGAAACCGTTTATTTTATTAAACAAGTAATTTATACAAATGAAGTAATTATAAATTGTCATAAATTTAATAACTAATACTTGGTTGACATCCCTTTTGCTTTTTTAATGCAAGGACCCTTCTAGGCATGCTAGCGATGAGTTCACGAATATCATCTTGAGGGATTTCTTGCCATGTTTGACGCAATAATCCTTAAAGTTCGGGCTTAGAAGATGGATTCCTGTTCTTTTTGCGGAGTTTTCGATCTAATATGTCCCAAAGGTGTTAAATAGGGTTAATATCCGGGGACTGAATTGGCCATGGAAGTTTATTGATCCCATTTTGTCTCAACCAATGTTGCGTTGCTTGAGCAGTGTGACATGGAGCTCCATTTTCCATAAATAGGGAGTCAACTTTGCTCACTCTACCATCACTCCAAATTGCACCCCATACCATTACTGAAAGGCCCCCATGTTTCACCGTTGGCTGCAGTCTTTTTAAATCAAACTCTTGACTACAGAGTCTCCATACCCATACTCTTCCACTGTCGGAAAATAATGCGAATCTTGACTCATCAGAGAAAATGACAGTGGTCCAAAAGGTCACAGGTCTCTCCACCATATCATGAGCCCAATCCTTTCTGCGTTTGATATTGGCTGGACGGAGAAGTCGTTTCCTTCTCGCAGCTCTGCCATAGTAGCCCAGCTTGTGAAGATACCTGACAGCTGTTCTGGGACTGACATCAACTTGTGTTTCTATGTCAGAGGCATTGCAACGTGGATCCTGTTCAACATTTCTTTCGACAAGACGCATGGTTCTTTCAGAGAGCACAGGGCGGCCTGGATGAGGTTTTGTACACTTCTTGCCCTCTCTGGTGAATTGTACGATCACTCTATTAACAGTTGAAAGGGGTATTGAAAGATTTTCAGATATTTTTCTTTGACTAAGACCACCTTCATGTTGGCCCACGATACGTCCTCGCTGAAATTCGGATAGGTCTGAGGCTCCTTTGGTTCGTGGCATGTTCCACTATTGTTATCTGCAATTTTAATCAAATAATCTAAGTTAATTTATCTTGGTTATTAAAAAAATTCAGAAATAAAATTTATCTTGGTGTCTATTCAATTCTGTCATGTCTGTGTATATATATATAAATATATATATATATAAACATTCAATGCTTCACACTTCACCAATCAATTATATCAATCGTTCAATATATCTATTCAGGCATTCAGTCGTTTGTTGTTAGTATCTATAACTGTTGTTAAATACTGAGCTTTTACTATTTCATCTTTGTATTTGCAGAGAGAAAAAAAGAATCTTTTATAGTTTGTTTCTTACAAAATATTCTGTTCATCAAGAACCAAAAGCGTTCAATGTTTCTACCCACCAAACAGCGCTTTCATCTCTGATTAGCACCAAAAACGTTTGTTTTAGTTTCAATTGAGAATCTTACCCAAGGTCCTCGGGAGTTACAAACAAACGCTACATCAATAGAAAAGGTTTTATGTAAAGGCTGGCTATCTTTAAAGAAAGAAAAAAAAAAGCTGCTTACTTCATAGGATTATTTGCCTGAACTCACTGTGCAAATGCACTGCCGTAAATCAATCTTTGGTGTTTGTAAAATGAAGGTTGTTCACTGCTGTGTTTGTCCATAAAAATTCGTTCTACTATGAATCATGATATTTGTTGTTTGTGTAACGGCATATCAATTTCTTATGGGTCATTTTAATGCCGGAATTTAATTTTCTTGGAAGCTTTTTCTTTTTGCAAAGGACAGGTATTTTTTTTTCTTTTACAAAAATCTGTTACTGGTAATTCATTTATTTTTAATCTATATTTTCATTTTTTAACTCTGTTTAAGAATTCGCTATTAGCACATAGCCGGACCCTAACAGGTGTTACCACCCCAGGTCAGTATGGACGTGGGAAAAAGAGCAATTAAGCGGTGTTTCCACGCTCCCCAAAGACTCTCGATTAGGGGCCTTGCTGCCGGATGTAGTTTATCGTCATACCCAGGACTTATGAATCCGGATCGCTATACCTCTTTACAATTCTTGCTGAACCAAAACCGAATTTCTTTGAGTTTTGTCAGAAATTTTCAGCTGAGGAATTATCAATATCACATACTTTATTATTCAGACTATCATATTGTTGTTTCCTATGGTCTTCTTTAAGCGTTTGTCTTTGTACTCGATAATCAAACACTTTATATAATCCACAGAGATATATTGTTCTCCTTCCGCTTTCCATGTTCAAGGGAGATAACTCGTATCAGTTAATACTCCTCAGTCTTTTTCACATTTGCTGTTTGTTTGTTTCTCCCACTAAACCGGATTATATGACTCTTCTGACTTCCCAGAGCAAGGATTGAACTCAAAACTACAAGCTAGGTTTCAACAAACGCTTTAAACAATTAGGCCATGTATCGTATGGACTTATGGCCTAGCGTATTAATGCTTTCGTCTTAGTGAAGTAGTTTATGATAGACCTTTGTTAGGAATTTGTGTTAAAAATATGAAAGTTAATCGTTTTACAGAAATCTGTCTTTCCGCCTCAAAAGGATGGAATCCTCTGTTATATAACCTTTAATTTTTGTGTAAAAAAAAATGAAGAAAAAAATTCTATAGAATTCTTTCTTTCAGCGCCCAAAATGTTAAAGATTCCCTTTTTCAGAACTAGTCATTTCTGCGTGAAAATATTGTAAATATCTTCTTTTATACAGTCTGGTTTAAAATCACGAAGAGGTTTTAAATCTGAAAAAAAGAAAATAATTAAAATTAATTTTTTTGGCGTTTTTTTTTTTTTTTTTTCAGGTTTGATAAAAAAAGACCTTGGAGATAAAGCATATATATGTGTATGTGTGTATGTGTGATGTCATGATTTTTTTAAAATTTAAAATAAAAAATAAACTAGTTGTTAAATATTGAAAACCCTTCAGAACTTTTGATATGCACTGTACAGTAATTCATATACATTGTTAATATCATTTTTTAAATTTTTTTTATCTACGCTCACTATGAATATTGGCTGAGAAACGTGACAGGGTCATGGCTGCTAAAGACTTGACATTTAGCTTAATTCATTCCTATGTTGTTAACCTTTGTTTCTTTTTGAAAATCTTACCATTAATAACGAGAAAGCTTTCCAAACTTCGATTTTTAGGAATGGAAAAGACCATTCCATTAGTCAGTTCATTGATTGCTTCGCGAGTTCAGCCTTGTCCAAGACCAAGCTAAGCTTAGTAAAAAGTTATTTTTCATTTGATCATTTGATTACTAAACTGAAGTTTTCATACTTTAACTAGAATAAATGGGAATAACTCTTACGTTAATATGCCCTTTTACGGAGACCATGTACCAGACTTTGTTGGGCTTAGTAAATAGCCATAACATTGGATCTATAATAGAATTAATCATAGCGATGTACTGGTTGCTCAGTAAGCGCACAATATAATTAGAAATTCTTATCGAAGTAACAGGGGCTTCTTTATCGATATCTAAAAAAAGAAACCCGATAAAAATAACATTTTCTTCAGCCAACTTAGCAAGGCTGAAAATTATGATAACCGATAAAATAAATAAATAAATAAAGATATGGCGCCATTTTTAGTAAAGCGTTCGGTGGTCTAGGAATGAAGTTAGAAAGAAACAGAAAAGAAAGAAGCGAAAAGGAAAGAAAGAACGATGGCGAGAGAGAAAGTGGCACAGAAGAAAACGAAGAAAGAAAGATAAATAGAAACGGAAAGAGAAAAGAAGAACAAAAAGAATGAAGGAAAGCGTCTAGAGGAAAGAATGAAAGATAAAAAGAAGAAAAAATAGTGAAGGGGAGATAAAAAGGAAAGAGGATAAAAGAATAAAGTAAAAAGTGAGAAAGAAAGAGAGTACAAAAAGAGAAGGAATAGGAAAAGAAAGAAGAAGACAAAATTGAGAATTTTAAGAGAGAAAGTGAACTAGAGAATAATAATAATAATAATAATAATAATAATAATAATAATAATAATAACAAATTCAAAATGGAGTTCCAAATGGGCGTAGAGATGCAACTACAGCACAATACACCGGCTGAAACTGCAAAATACCTAAAAAAGATAGCTAAGACGAATGCAACAGACCAGTTACAGAAGCGATGGCAAGATAAACCGCTTCATGGCCAATACTCTGCCCGTACCAAACAAGCTGACGTAGACAAAACCCGTACCCATCAGTGGCTACGTAGTGCAGGGTTGAAAGTTGAAACTGAAGGTTTTATCCTTGCTGCGCAGGACCAATGCTTGCTAACTAGGAATTATCAAGCACATATACTAAAATATTGTGTCAGCCCAAAATGCAGATTCTGTGATAAATATCCAGAAACGATTGATCATCTCTTGTAGCAGGTTGTACGGTGTTGGCACCCACGGAATATAAAACCCGACATGACAGAGTGGGCCAATATCTGCACTGGAAAATCTGCAATTTCTACGGGAAGAAAACTGAAAAAAACTGGTATGAACACCACCCAGACCCGGTTACGGAGATGGGACCTGTTACAATTCTATGGGACTACAGAATACACACTGACAGAACAATCATGGCCAACCGCCCAGATATTGTTATTAAAGACCACAAACAAAAACGGTGCCTCCTTATTGATATGGCAGTCCCTGCCGACTGCAATGTATCTTTGAAGATATTCAAAAAGTTGTCAAAGTACAAGGACCTTGAAATAGAAATCGCGAAAATGTGGCATATGGGAACATCAACAATCCCTGTTGTAGTTGGAGCCCTAGGACTGGTTGGAAAAGATTCCAGTAGACTAATTGAACGGATTCCTGGAAGTCCATGCCTCAAGGAGATACAGAAAATTGTTCTGACAAGTACAGCCCACACCTTACGAAGGGCTTTATCTATGTAATCATTTTTTTTTTTTTTATTGTCAGTGGAAAGTGTCATGACGCCATTTCTAACCTTAGGTCCCTGGGCGGGACCCGGAAAGAAATGTGTAAACGCCAGAAATCAAAGAAAATAAAAACAATAATAATAATGTTAGTGAGAAGAAGAAGAATAGTAGAAAGGAGAATTAAAGAGCGAGAAGCAGAGGAAGGATGTCCGGGTGGGGGAAGGAAAGAAAAATGAATGAGAGTATATTGAGAGAGCGGGAGAAATATAGAAGAATGAGACGAAAGAGAAGAAAAAAAAAAGAAAAAGAAGAGATCTAAGGATAGAATAATGAAAAGAAGAAAGAAGAAGGGTAGAATGAAAGTAGAGGAGAAAGAAAAGGAAACTAAGAATAAAAATTATAAGAAAAAAAAGAAAGAAGAGAGAAAAGATAAAAGAAAGGTAAGCAGAATGAAGAAGAGAAAGAAAAAGAAAGAATGAAAGAATAAGGAAGTTAAAAGAAGCGGAGTTAAAAAGGGTAAGAATGGAGGAAAACATGAAGGAGGAAGCAGGAGAGAAGAAAGAAAGAGAAGAATGAAGGAAAAAGTGGAAAGAGAGGAAAAAGACAAGAAAAGTGAAGGAAAAGAATGAAAGAGCTACAAATGAAGAAAAGGAAGAATAAAAGAAGTAAGGAAGAATAAGAGAAAAGTCAAGAATGAAAGAGAGAAGGGAAAGTGCTATAAAAAGATTCAGAGAATTTGAACCGTACACGTAAACATTTTTCAGTACATTAAAAGCAGTTTTGTTTCCATGGTCACATTACCTGAATGCTTGGGTATGCCCGTGTTTATCAAGTGTTTCTTTTTGCTAAAATGTAGATGATGGAAGCAGAGAACAAATACCTTTGGGAAACACGCAATATTTCGATAAAGCTCTAATCATTGCAATGCACTTGCCCAGGAAAACATTGAGAAACCTTATTTATTTATTTATTTATTTATTTATTTATCATTTCACTCCAAGCAAGGCGGTAATATCACTAGTGCGCAGTAGTGAAAGTGAAAGTGAAAGTGAAAGAGAAGACTGAACATAGAAAGGATTGAAGAAAGGACAAAAGATGAACGAGATTCAAAGAGACAGAAGATGGCGACTGATGTTTTTTAAGAATTTATTTATCAGGGAAGCAAGCAAACGGAATGGGATTGCACAGTTGAGAAGTGCGGGAAAGGAAACTGTTGGAGAAGAAGTGGCAGTTGTATTTACCTATTTTAACAGTAAACGGGTGGGACCTAGATGTCAATCTAGTAGCACACTTAAATTCATGTAGTCGGTACACTAGGGAAAAAAGCTTGTCAGTTTGGTAGAAAAGACAGAGGGAAACCATGTCATGTCGGTGAGAAAGTGACTGAAGTTCAACGTCATGGCTGATTATATTACAGATCCTTCTTTGTGTTTTGTCAAGAATCTTGAGACGTACAGTGGGAGCACCAGACCAGATATGGCAACCGTATTCAATGCAGGGAAGACTGGCAGCATTTACACTATTTACATTCGGTCTATTGGAGGAGGCACGGTGGAGTAATGGATAGCGGCTCGGAATCCAATCAAATCCATTACATTCACTTACCTTGGGAAAGGTATGAATTCCTTTCTTCTCCCCCCCTCAGTTATAGGTAAATAGCAGGACAGACCGGCTTCTATAGCCTTGGATTGCAACTGGTCTACCAGCAGAAAGAAATGGCAACCTACTGCGGAAAAATCTGCCTCGTCAGTCAATTATCGAAAAAGATACATGACTGACGAAAGATCACGCATGACAGACAACTGACTGGCTATTGTCTTCAAGGGCAATAGATTAGTGGGTTAAAGCGTTGGTTTGTGAATTTGGTGATATAGTACATCTTTATATAATCCCTGGGCAGGCCACTGGGCAAATAACTAAAAATAAGAACTAGACGAGATCCCCATTTGTAGTGGAACAAGAAACAGTCTACCCACTTCGATTAAATAAAAGGTTCAGTTCAGAATTCCCTGCAGATCGATATACACTTGTTTAATCTTACACTCCGCGGTCCGGTAACTCCCATGACCTGATCCTTTTTAATCTGCTTCAATTAGTTCGTTGAGTGGCTACGTAGGCAGCGCCACAAGTTGCTTCCAACTTTATTCATCCGTTCTGATCATTTCTTATATATAGCTGCATATTTACTCATTTAGGATAGTAAGTATATATCATATTTTGGCTTTAGGCTTTTGCTTTTAGTCTTTGTATTACCTGAAACAATAAAAACCTTATTTGGAAGCATTAAAAATTGTTTTATTTCTTGTTTGAAGCTTTGTTCTATTTTTGATACTTCAGCAATATACATGTGGAATGAACTGGCAAGGCTATGCTTACATAGGTTTTTATGGTGTGATTTCTATCATCCTATATTTTCTCTGGTCGGTCAGTGGTCTGGTCCCAAAGGTAACAGATTAAAGAGGTCGGACTGCCACGCAAAATACTTATGGGTCATGAATAGAAGGATTGCCTATCGATATTGAATGACTGAAGAGAAACAGAAACTGTTACGAAAGGAATATCGTGTTGGGATTTAAAAAAAAAGAAAAGAAAAAGATTGTTGTTAAAAAAAGAATATAATGAAAGGCTGGTGGTTAAAAAAAAGAGGAAGTAAAAGAAGAGAAAGAGGGGGTCGCTGGGTGGCAGTCGTGATTAGAAGAAGAATAGACAACTTCCGTTGACAAATTTTAGCGGATGCAATACTCCACGTGACCGGAAATGCACGCAGTAAGTCGCCTCGTCGAATTCTGATGATGAGTTGGATTAAACTTAGAATCAATTTAAATCAGACAATCTTAATGTCACGAAAAGAATGTATTTCGTTTGGCGTTGTTAGGTTCTCTCTTTTCTTTCCATTTTTTCTTTCTTTTTCTTCTTTTCCTTGCTTGCTTATTTGCTTTTGTGATTACTTTTCCTTCTTATGTTTCACTGTTTTGTTCCATCTTTCTTTCTTTTCACCGTTCTGCATATCTTTCTTTCTTTTTTCTTTCTTTCTTTCTTTCTTTCTTTCTTTCTTTCCTTCTTTCTTTCTTTCTTTCTTTCTTTCTTTCTTTCTTTCCGTTCTGCTCTGTTCTTTCTTTTTCATCACCTTTTTCTTTTTTCTTCTTTTTTTGGCGTATTTCCTTTCTTTCTTTTTACTTCTTTCTTACATTTGCATTCTTTAATATTTTTTCCTCCTTTTATCCTCCTTTTTTTCTTCATTCCTTCCAATTTTTCTTGCCTTTGTTTCTAAATTTCATATTCTTTCCCATTCTTACTTCACTGAAATCATTTCCTTTTTTTTCTTCTTTTCCTTCACTTCCGCTCGCGACTTTTTACTCTTTTCATTCATTCATTTATTCAGTCAGTCAGTCAGTCATATTTTTTCTTATTCAATACAATTTCACACGCCTTCCATTCCAGATTCAAGGTTAGGAACTTTCGCTTTCAGTTTTATTTTATTTCAGGATTTCCTTTCCTGCTTCCCCAAAAGAATTTTTATTTTATTTTTTTTTTTAATTTTTATTTTTTAAATAACATCGAAACTCTCTCTTCTTTCTATTAATATTTTTACTTCATAAGACATCGTTTCGGCTTTCTAAACATGGATGCCTACTTTTGCATTGTTTGTCGGTAAAAAATCTTACGAAAATTATTTTCTTTGTTTATTATTCGCATTCACGAGAGGCAAAATACGACATATGGTAATTTTATTCTTTTTCATTTAAATTTTGTCTCAGGCTCTATCTAATCTTCGTAAATCTCCTTTTGCAAGTCCTACTCTCATCTAATAAAGAGGCGCTGTCAAGTATCTCCGGTACTTTGGCTAGATGCGAAGTATGACACACGGCCTTTGTTTCCCAGAGGGTTGAATAAAATTATTTACATTTCTCTGTATTTGCCACAGAAATCGATGGCTATCTCTGGCTCTACTCTTCTTAACTGTAATGTGAGACTATTACAAGTGATCTATCTGTCTAGGAGACAGATAGATCACTTGTACCTAGGCGAGATATTTTTTGTATAATCACAATATCCAAAAGACGAGAGAAAAATCTTCTATTATGTAGATTGACAAAAATAACTAGGTATTAATCTTTACTGTCATTCCACGCCAATTAGTTTAATGACGAAGCTCCCTCGATCTCCAGTGCCTAGTACTTCTCGTTTCACTCACCCTGTATTGTGAAACAGCAGTACTTATTATGTTGGCTTTGTTACAAAAAATATACAAGTTTTCTTTGACCTTTACCACAGGCATCAGATTGTACTTATGACTGAACATTTCTAAGGTCAATACATATGTGAGGAATTGGATCTCTCTGGCCAATGACAGATATTTATTTTGCATGCATACGTAATGCAAAATACCATAAAAAAAAAGTCACGATCGTATATTATATATATATATACACACACTCACACACTCTCACACACTCTCTCTCTCACACACACACACACATATATATATATATATATATTGTATATATTGTATATATATATATATATATATATATATATATATATATATATATATATATTGTATATATAGATATATTTACAGAGAAACTTCACATATACGGCCCCTTCCATGAACAGACTTTGGATGCAACGGACAAAATCTGCAGGCAAATAAAAAAGATTCTGCGGGAAAAGAAACTTCCAAATCGTTAGCGATGTATTTCAAAATTTGCAGGCTTAGTGGAACTCCTTGGAGGCGGTGGCTGGCCTTTCAATTGTAAACAAAGACCGGTGTACAGTATATAAGGTACGATACATTAGCGCGTGCGTGAGAATGTAGCTGTGAGAAATCTATTATTTTTGTTGTTTTGATTAATATATCTATATTAAGTAGATATTTATTTATGCCATATATACATGTTTATAGTATTTACATTATGATCATAACTACTGGCAGTTACTATAGTAGTTTTATAACTCAAAAAATAATCTCTTATTATCTACAGACAATCGGCTTTAACGGATCACCTGCCCCACCTATTATCTATTATATATATATATATATATATATATATATATATATATATATATATATATATACACTGAAATTATTGGGGGATTTTAATACAAATCCAATTAATTCATCGAGTTTAGGAGAATGCAGAAAGCCCATTGGTACAATTGATATGTCGCTTGCGTTGTATTGTAACTGTCCGAGATCGATTCTCGGTAGTGAATGCACTGCTGATGAGTCCCAAATAGGACAAAACAGCCGTACAGTGCTTTCTGCATTCTGTTTAGGATTCTTCTCGACTGATGAATATATATATATATATATATATATATATATATATATATATATATATATATATGTGTGTGTGTGTGTGTGTGTGTGTGTCTTTATTTCTGTACATTATTTACATTATTCGGACTATTGTCCGGGCGTACAACAGTCGAAACGTTGTGATAGATATATGAAAAAATGAGGACAATAGTCCGAATAATGTAAATAATATATATATATATATATATATATATATATATATATATATATATATATATATATATATATATATTAGCAGCAATCATTCGTTTATGCATGTTTCATTAAAAACAACAGATAAGCTACTATGGTTAAGCTTTTTATTTAATCTTTCTTGTGTTCGAACAAGAGCTTTCTTTTCTGGACAAAGAGTGTGTAAAAACTGTCCAAATGTTTTATAAGTCCGAGCGCTTTCAGCAATACCTTTAGCAATTATCTAGGGTGATTCAATTTTTCAGCTTAATTATGTATATGTTTTAGTGTGTTGTAGAGATGTTTTTAATTTCCGAATACTGTTAGCACATTGTGGCCTTGTTCGTAGTTAGGATTGTTAAGGGTTGGCTTTTTCGTTTTTATTATTAAAGCTTCATTTATTTTTAATCTTTTTTTTACACACTC